AGCAAATATCGATTAGACATTGGTGTGTGAAGAAGAAGAAGAAGAAGAAAAAAAGTGGACATTAGAATCGATTAATCGCGTTGTCCAAACACTACTCGATTTGTTTAGGGGGATGGGGATTGGGAAAAAAATAGAAGAAAAAAAAAAAGAATACATTGAGGGAGGGGGGTTAGAAGTTGAAGGGTTGAGGGAAGTTTGTCGAGGTAACAACGACGTTAGGATTGACTATAGTTTCCTATTCGAGGGCATAACATTTATTATCGGGTCAGGGTTAACTGTTAGGCGTGCCACCACACACTATTCAACAAACCCGACCACATCATCCTTACCTCGGACACATACTAATCTAAAAATAGTTTTAACGAAAGCAAACTTCTTCCAGATATAAAATCTGACGACGTAAGTGTGTTCGTTGGTTGTCATTTTCTATATATCTATTTATCTTTAGAAAAAAAAAAAAAAAAAGAAAAAAAAATCTACGTCTATATCTATTTTATCTATCTATTATAATCTGAATATTATTTTTATCCTGATAGTATGTATGTGTATGTTTGTTTTTTTTTTTTCATTATTATTATTATTAATCACATATGCATTTTTATTACATTGGAACATTGCATTTGAAATGTCATTTAGTTAAATTGATATCATTGATTTATTTGTATTAATTTTTTTTAAGTATTTAGAATTGTTTAAATATTATTTTTTTTTTATTTAATGTTATTTAGAATTATGTATAATTTATAAATATATTTTTTTATTATGTTCTATGTATAAGTTAAATATTTATAATATTGATTTTTATTGCATTGCAAATTGTATTTGAAATGTAGTTTAGTCAAATTGATTTCAGTGATATACTTATATTAATTTTTTTAAATATTTAAAATTGTTTAATATTATTTTTTCTTTTTTCTATATTATTTAGTATTATCTATAATTTATAAATATATTTTTTATTATGTTCTATGTTTAAGTTAAATATTTATAATATTAATTTTTATGCAATGGAAATTGTTCCAAACGTAATTTAATTAAATTTATTTAAGTGACATACTTATATTAATTTTTTTAAATATTTAAAATTGTTTAATATTATTTTTTCTTTTTTCTATATTATTTAGTATTATCTATAATTTCTAAATATATTTTTTATTATGTACTATGTGTACGTTTATTATTAATATACATTTTTATTACATTGAATATTTTTTAAATCTCATTGCACATTTTAAATCTTTCGAATTATTTATTTCATCTTTTATTGTAATATGTTTAATATTTTGTTATACGTTTACTGATAGTCAGAATGAAAATTAATTTTCGATATTTCAATTGAAATGATACACATACACTCACACACACAAACACACGTATACACATCTTGTTTCGAATCATTCAATCGGAAAGAAAAGGGATAAAATTAATAGCCAATGATTGGATGAATAATTATTGCAATAAACAATTAATTAGAATTAAACGTACGATAGTTGAATACAATCGTTAATTAAATTGTTTTTGTTTTTTTTTTGTAATTATTACAATAACAAAAAAACACTTATGTAATTATTTGTAAATATTAACAATTATTATTTGTAACTAACAAAATAGAATTTTTGTTATAATGTACACGTGTATACGTGCGTGTATTTCTATTAGAATATCGACTTATGTTAAATTCATTTGAAAGAACATGCGAATAGTAAACGTTTTTCGCATTGTATTTTATTTTTTTTTTTTTTTTTTAGTAAACTTTTGCAGGATCGTAGTTAGGACTCATTATGCGGTTAAATCCTGACCCCAATTTCTCAATCATAATAATAAAAATCAGTTTATACGAGGACGACAGTTGACTGTTATTAACCACGCAAAAGTTGTTTTTATTTTTGGAGAAGGGGAGGAGAGGATCTTTCAAAGAAACCACAAGATCAATTAAATGATATAATAAATAAATAATATAATTTTAATATAAAGAAAAACAAATTACTTACAACGTGTGACAAGCCTGTTGTTTGCTTGGCTCGGTGGTGGAATCGCAGCTTGGGGTGGTGGTTGAGAACTCAGATCCTCGAAATTTATAATTTGTAGACAAATATCGTCCACCTCGCTCCTTATCAATGCTATCACCTCGCTGCATAGGAATTTGGTTCCTTAAAAATAAACATAATTATTTATATTAATTAATATAATATAAAAATTCAATCCATGTATGTTAAATCAATCAATGTTCAATTATTTCTAAATAACATTGACAACATTTTGTTTTAATTAAATAAATAACGCGATAATAATTATTTATACTTATTATTTATTATATTGGAATTTTGTTTATTATTTTATTTTTTTTTTTTATTTATTTTGCAATTAAACTTACGTACATTTGATACGAACCGAGTTATATTCAAAAATATAATTTATAATATTATATATTTTATAATTCCTATTATTTCTAAATAATATTGACAACTTTATTTGTTATTAATTAATTTATTTATTAAATTATTCATATTTATTTTTTATTATATTGGAATTTTTTTATTTTTCTTTTTTTTTACAATTAAACTCGTACATTTGATACGAACCGAGTTATATTACAAAATATAATTTACAATATTATATATATTATAATTTCTAATATTTCTAAATAATATTGACATTATTTTTTATTAATTAATTAATTGATTAAATTATTCATATGTATTTTTGATTATATTGAAATCTTTTCATCTTTATTTTATTTTTTATTTATTTTACAATTAAATTCGTACATATTTGATACGAACCGAGTAATATTCAAGTACAATTTATATTGATATTTTCATTTATAAAAATATGATATATCTACTGTTTAATTTGATTAATTTTTAACAACCCTGACTTTTAAGAAATGTAATAACAATATAATAATAATAAAAGTAAAATTAAAATAAAATTCTTATTAACGATAACGATGATTGAGAATCCTCATGAGAGAATTCAACGTATGCCGAATCGTATCGTTCGTTTTTCTTATTCGTCACGTTCCCTCGACGTTCCTCTTCTATACTCTTTTACCTATTTATTTTTATTATTTTTATTTTTATTTTTCATTTTTCTACGCGCGACAACTACTCTCTTATTGAAATGCGTGTCAAGGCCGACGACAAAAATTTATAACATCCGTGAGAAGTTTCAGAATCACGTCAGATATTTTTTCTTTTTTCACCTTCATTCTTATATTATCAACATATATATAATAACAATAATAATAATAATAAAAGTAGATAATAATAAAACGAGAAATCGTGGGAAAGAGTAGGGGGAAGGGGGAACTGTAAATATATCATAAATGTGATGTAACTTTAAATAACAAACGATTACATTTTAACGAGCTCAGTTCTTTTTAGAAAAAAAACAACCAATAAAAATGTTTCCATTTTCTAATTCATTTTTTGAAATAATAAAATACCAACTAGAAAAAGAAAAATAATATTAATCAATCACATTTCAAATATTCGTATTTACATTTCTTTTTTATCAATCATTTTGTATATTTTTGATTAAGTTAACAATAATAATTTTTGTTTTAAAGTAAACCAAATGTAATCTCATTGAAATGAATCATTTTTAAATATTCACGTTACTAATAATCGTACCTAACCTTATTTCTTTTCATAAATCATTTGTTCAATCACACTTTTAATATTTTAACCATAATTTCTTGTTTACAAATTATTTAATATATATATTTTTTATTCAACTTACAAGAATCATTCGTATTTGAAAGTAAATCTTATCTTCTTCTTAATTTATACAAATTACATGTGTCACGTTGTTTGTCCGCAATGGATTCCTAAACTACTAAACCAATTTTAATCAAATTTTACTCACAATGTACAGTTTCATTCAAATTGAAAGATAGGATAGTTTATATCTCAATTTATAATCGAATTATTTGTTTATTAACAAAGAATCATGATTATCTCTGGTAGTTCGATAAGATTCTAACAGATGGGGGTATAAGGTAATTCGTTGACTTTAAAAACGTGTGTATCTGACTGATTGTAAACCACAGCAACCCTGACGCACCCCTATTAAATATAATTTCATTGAAATAAATCATTTTTTTTCAATCACGTTTTTAATACTCTTACCATTATTTTTTCTTTTTTATACAAATCATTTTGTATATTTTTTTTTTTATTAAACATACAAGAATCATTTGTATTTTAAAGTAAGTTCGATCGGTTAAAACGGTTTGAAACTCGCTAATAAAGAAACTGGCTAGTTGCCAAAAGATATTTTTTCTTGTATTTTGCAGTAGTGGTTTAAACGGAACGACAAAATGTCGGTGTGCTAATGTCAATGGGACAATGTCATTTGTACATTTTAAAATAAAAAGAAAAAATTATTAATAATAAGATAAGACAAACACACACACACACACACAGAGAAAGACGATTCGTTAATTATTTGAAACAAAGTTGACTTTAACAAAACCACCTTTTTATAATCTTAATCAACCATTACAACCAACCAACCCCAACCCCTAAAAAAGCTTTAATGTTTTAATATTTAATCTTTCCACGTTTAAAGTATACCTACCCTCTACGTTTAATTAAAAAGGGGATGAGAGATTACATTTCATATATATATCATATTCAAAGAGTGAGTGTGAAATAAGCAAATACCCAAAAGGGTTAGTGTTAACGCTAAAACCAACACATACATACTTGTAGTATGTATATATTTATATTATGTGTATTAAATGAACCTAATCAAATGATTACTTGAATAAAATGGAATTTTTATCAATTAAATTTTTATCATTTTCATCCGAATTTTGTATACAAATTAAAAAACATTCACAGTATATGTTTAATTTTAATATTTAACCTTGAAATTTTAATTCATTCTGAATTATCATTCTCTTCATTTCAAAGACTTAAAATTTGTTTCAAACATTCCCATGTTTTCCATAATTGTATTTTTTTTTTTGTATGTACAAACATTTTACATACAAACATTTTCAAGTATCGTAAAATTTTTTTTTTTAATATTTCAAGGTCGAATTAAAGACATCAAGCATGATTTGTGTGTGTGTGGTATACTGCAAGAGTTCAAAAAAAAAATAAAAATTGGAATAAAAATGGGGAGTGTGTTGGTTGAAACTTCGTCACGAAATTGAACAAGTCACCCCCGTCTATTTCTTTTTTTTTTTTTTTTTTTTTTTTTTTTAGGGGGATTTCTTCATCGAAGATAGTTAATTGGGTACGCGGTTTACGAGTCAAGGTACCTTGGATGTGTTCCAGAAGTGATCGACAAAAGGAAAGTATGTCTCGGTACGAAAATGTGGCTCGCAGAAAACAACCTTCGGATTCTCGATCCAAAGTGTGTTTGTTGGTAAGTTAGAATAAAACAGAATAAGAATAAGAAGAAGAAGAAGAAGAAGAAGAAGGAAGGTGGTGAAGATGGTGGTAGTGGTGGTAGTAGATTTGGTTGCGCAATATTTGAAGATGGAAAACACACTGGTTTGTATGTTAAAGACGTAATCGCAACGACCAACTGAGCTTGCCAAGAGTGCCATTGGCCACCTGGTTGAAAGATGGAAAACATCATAGTCTTCTCTAGTAGGATCAACATTTTGCATCTTATGCATCTACGATTATCATATATATACAATACTTGACTATCCACCACCCCCACCACCACATAATGAATCAGTATTAGTTGCTTATCCACTCGACTATCAATAACCACCCCCATCACTACCACTAGCACCCCCATTACTACCTTCCCAGCACCATCACAACAACCCATTGCAATTCTATCTCGACATAGTCTCTTCTTAATTAACGTCATTCCCTTCTTTATATTCTTTTCATTCGGATTCTTGGCGACCCTTCTGTATGACCTGGAAGTTAAACAAGGAAGACCTAATGAGGTCAGAACAAAGGGAGAAGTGAGAGTACTCTTGGGCTAGGTACTTCACTCGCGTGGTTACTTCGTTGCTGATAATTAAGTCGGTCGTTCAAAGGACTTTTGCGGTTATTGTTAACACCCCACTCCACCCCAAACTCAAACCATTCCACCCTTCTCTGTCATTCATATATTTCTTTCGACAATTTTTCCTACACCCCACCCAACTCCAATCCCCTTTTCCCTTCCATTTTTTTTCCTTTCTTTCAATCCTTTTCTCAATCTTGAAACTGAACATTAAAATCTTTGACTTGTAATGTGACAATTTTGCTTGAAGCTTTTATCGATACTTTGATCCACACAATTTTTTTTTTTTTTTGTTTTATTTGTTCATTCATGTAAAACAATATGAAACTCACTGATTGATAAAAACAATACCTCGATTAACTTGTTCCTTTTTTTTATTTAATTTAATTTAATTCAATGATAAATTGTTTGTTTTTTCTCTAAGAAATTTGTGTTCTATAAAAAAAAGAACAACAACTACAACAACAATTTAAATGAATTATTTATTATCTTCGTCTCAGGTTGGTATTATCACGCAAGAATGAATAATTTGATATGAACATTATATCGTGACACTTCTAGTACCATCATGGTGATAATATTGGTGTTGGTAATGGTAGTGGTGGTTGGTTGTGGTAGTGGTGGTGCTTTGGGTTAACTCGTGCGAGCCAATTTCGAGCTAATTACGTTGAGATAATTACGTTGGAATGTTCCTGCGTAACCCTAAACACACATGTATATTGTATCAATGTTGCATATACAGGTGTATATGTATATATGTATCTATGTATGTGTGTGTTTGTGTGTGTATGAATCTGTGCTAAGAATAAAAGTATAATACGTGTAACACAGATATGAATTTGTTTTGTTAAATCATGCGTTTATATTTATCATTGAAATTTCATTTTCGTTTTATCAAAGATCAAAGTAAGTAATCATTAAGAACAATATGACAAAAAAGAAAATGTTTATTTATTTAATTATTAAATAATTGTTAATTATCTTTACATGAATGGGTTGAAAAGTATTGAACTTGTCAGAGTATGCATTCGAAATTTTGGTACGGAAGAACGTTGGTGTTGTCATTGCGTGACTACTACTTCGTTTTCGAGTGCGTGACTTTGTCAAAGAGATCAAAAAAAAAAAAATTAAAAGGGGGGAAAATGAGAAATAGAAAAAGATAAAA